TTTAGACAGTACTACATATTTTGAAATTATGGAAATTATAGATGGGCAAAATTTAAAAAAATAAGGGAAATATTCACAAACTCATAAATCTACAAAATCGTATTTTTTACCGAAATCGATAGGTCGCGGCCTCTAAATGACCTTTAAACTATTTATAATAATAGGCAATAATATTTCTCATACAAACGAATAAAATTAGGGGTAGTGTGTGGAAATTTGTATACATACAATACATCAAGACATTTCTGGTTAACGGCGTCAGATCTGCACCGATTATTCGATTTTCAAAACTGAGGTTAAAAATTAAAGGTTTTGGCCTCTAAATGTACAACAAGGTTTGACATTTTTGAAAAGGGTTGCCACGCTTTTATAATTATAAAACCAGCACTGTTCGTTGTATTAAAAAAAATTAGGTGTCAGATGAAAGGACTGGGCCTCTAGATGTGCAAGAAGGTTTAACTTCTTTGAATAGGGTTGCCACTTGCTTAAAAAATCATAAGACTTACACCGTGCGCGCAATTTTATAAAATGATATGAAATGCCATATAAAAGGGCTTGGTCTATAGATATGCAAGGAAAAATGTCTTAATTTAAAAATGTCAAATTTTAAAAAATTAAGAGAAATATGCTTTTTTTATTTTATCCGATAAAAAATCTCAACAAGCCAAGTCCAACAATAGATTATTATATACCATTTATCCGATTATATTCGATCTTTAAAATCGAATTAAAATTAGTCATTCACAAACTCATAAATCTACAAAATCGTATTTTTTACCTAAATCGACAGGTCGCGATCTCTTAGTGACCTTTAAACTATTTATAATGATAGGCAATAATATTTCTCATACAAACGGCGTCAGATCTGCACCGATTATTCGATTTTCAAAACTGAGGTTCAAAATTAAAGGTTTTGGCCTCTAAATGTACAACAAGGTTTGACTTTTTTGAAAAGGGTTGCCACGCTTTTATAATTATAAAACCTGCACGGTTCGTGGTATTAAAGTGTCAGATGAAAGGACTGGGCCTGTAGATGTGCAAGACGGTTTAACTTCTTTGAATAGGGTTGCCACTTGCTTAAAAAATCATAAGACTTACACCGTTCGCGCAATTTTATAAAATGACTAGCAGACCCGGCGAACTTCGTCCCGCCCAAAATTTTAATATATTTTATTGAAACTTTTTGGTCCAACATTTTCACCAACAATTCACGTTTACGATTTTCATTGGCACATTAGTCTGCTAAGATTAAGGTTTGGTGGTCATTTGCCGCTTTAAATAACCTAAGGAAAGTGTTATATCCGTTCTTGAAATTCTCCAGTTGTGCGGCATTTCATAGCACGGTTATTAGCAAAGCGAAATAAATTTTTTCCTCTTCACTCCCTGGTTACAACAATGACCCGGTTCTATAGTGAATGTTAGAAACTTTACAGTATAGTAGGTGGCAGTTTCAAAATGGGTGCGAATCATTGTTCTACAGAAATGCAATATACATATACTTATTTCAGACGAAATACCTTAAAAGTTTGAACGCATAATAATATTGGAAAATCACATCCATTGGGCCAATTGCAACGCAGGAGCGTTCGATATACTCAATGCTGCAACAGGTCGATTTAATTTGACCTTCACGGCCCCTTTTCTCACTTGGCTATTTTTAGTAATAGCTCGACTTCAGCACCACTTGGCAGCACGTTTTTGCAATAGTATTGCATACATATTTAAAACATTAGCCAAATCGGATCATAAATAAGATTTTTAGTAATAACTCAACTACAGCGCCAACTGTCGGATTAAATTGTGAAACTAAACCATCCAGAGACCCACTCAAATACACAAAAAGTTTCGTTTAAATCCGTTCAACCATTTAGGAGGATTTAACAAACAAACACACCTACAGAAGAATAAAAAAATTCATTCAAAGATAGCTAAAGGTCGGTACGTTTGTAGGCCTCACACCCCTTTTCAAATAGCCCGAATTTTCTCCATGAGTATGGGCTTGATTTCAACTATATATGTACATATCTCCATACGAAGTTCCAGTACTGTACCATGAATACTTTCAGAGATATGCAGTATAAAAATTCGATTTATATGGGAGTATGCGATTGATTTCGTATATCTCCATACCAAGTTCCAGAACTCTACCATGAACACTTCCAAAGATAGGCAGTATGAAAAATTCGGTTTGTATGGAAGATGCCACGCTCCTTTTTCCAATAGTTCCAATTTTTCTCCAAGAGTATGCGATTTATTTCGTACATCTCCATACAAAACTCTAGAACTCTACCAAAAAATTTCCAGAGATAAGCAGTATGAAAAATTCGGTTTGTATGGGAGATGTCACACCCCTTTTTACAATGGCTAAAATTTTTCTCCAAGGGTATGCAATTGATTTCGTATATCTCCATACCAATTTCCAAAACTCTACCATGAACACTTTCAGAGATATGTAGCATGAGAAATTCGGTTTGTATGGGAAGTGCCACGCCCCCTTTACATATAGATTTTTTTTTCAGCCTAAACCCATCCTTGGGACACGTGCGGCAGGTGGCAGTTTCAAAAAAATCGGTTCAGCCGCTCTCGAGCCTTGCGAAAACTAACAAACGGCTTTCTAAATATATATTAGTTGAGATATATTATATATTATAATTATATTTTGACAGTATCCGTTGTTTCTGATTGGCGCAAAAAAATCTTGCCTAGTGACGAATTCGCCCCTTGATATGGTCGTTACTTAAAACTATTTATATTCGAAATTTCATGAAAATTGGAAAACAGGAATCTATAAGCTTATCCAGACAAAAAGCTACCTACGTACCGAATTTTAAGCAAATCGGACCATAAGTACGATTTCTTCGAACAGATCGGTCCCTGGTCCACTTCTCGGACAAAATGGATCATATATGCTAATATATGCTAAAAAGCTACCTACGTACCGAATTTTAAGCAAATAGGACCGTAAATACGATTTTTTCGAATAGATCAGTCTCTGGTCCACTTCTCGGAAAAAATTGACCATATATCCTAATATATGCTAAATAACTACTTATGTACCCAATTTTAAGCAAATCGGACCATAAATACGATTTTTTGGAATAGATCGGTCCCTGGTCCACTTCTCGAAAAAAATTTATCACATATGCTAATACATGCTAAAAAGCTACCTGCGCACCGAATTTTAAGCAAATCGGACCGTAAATTCGATTTTTTCGAATAGATCGGTCCCTGGACCACTTCGCGGAAAAAAGGGTCATATATGCTAATATATGCTAAAAAGCTACTTACGTACTAAATTTTAAGCAAACCGGACTATAATACGATTTTTTCGAATAGACCGGTCCCTGGTCCACCTACCCCCATGGTGGTTACCGAAAGCTATTTGTGTACAAAATTTCATGAAAATCGGACCAGCCGTTCGCGAGATTACCTGTTACAAAAAAAAAGGGACTTCTCTTTATATAATTAGTATAGATATGATGTGCCATATAAAAGGCCTTGGTCTATAGATCTGCAAGGAAAAATGTCTTAATTTTTTTTAAAAGGATTGCCACCTGTTCTAGTCATTTTTTTTTGTGCAGAGCAACAGATTTACAACGTTCTCTCTATTTTTAAATGAGATGCCAAATGAAAGGGATTAACTTAGGACGTGCTTTGGGTTACATTTTTTTTAAGGTTTGCAACATTATTGTTTGAAATATGATACTCAGTAAAATAGCGCAATATGGGCATCAAGAGAAAGGGTTTGGAGACTGAATTAATATGTTCGTGCTTTTAAGATTTGCCACCTATTAAAAAAATATTTAACTATGAACGGTAAGTAACGTATTAAAGACATTCGATATTGGTATCAAACGACAGCTAGTTAAAACGTCTATTGTGTAAATGTAGGCGAACTTTCGAGGGTTGTCATCTGGTTAACAATTTGTTGATTGAAATATTCTAATTAATTAAAATTTTACAAAGTGGGCTTCCAACAAAAATTCGAATACGTTTACACAAAAAACCCTCTTAACTAGCTTTCGTTTGACAGCAATATCGAACGCCCTTAATAAATTATTTACCATTCATAGTTATAAATTTGTTTAATAAGTGGCAACTCTACTAAAAATCCCACAGATTAATTTATAACCACTTTCGGTTGATGCCCATATTGTGATATTTTACTGACTATCATATTTCAAACAATGCAGTTTTAATGAGGCGGCAGCCCTTTAAAAAAAAACAAAGCACGTCTGTAGGTCAATCCCTCCATTTAACACCTTATTTTGACACTCGAGAGAATGGTGGAAGTCTGATGCTCTGCACAAAACATTTTTAATTTTTAACAGTTCGCAGCCCTTTTCAAAAAATAAGACGTTGTTCCTTGGAGATCTATAGAATCTATTTATATGGCACCTCATTTTTTAAGATAGCGCCAACAAAGTGTAAGTCTTATGATTTTTTAAGCAGGTGGCAACCCTATTCAAAAAAATTAAACCTTGCCAATCAAGAGACCCTGCCCTTTCATTTGACACCTAATTCGTTTTATACAACCGACGCTGCAGATTTTATAATTTAAAAAAGTTGGCAACCCTATTCAAAAAGGGCATACCTTTCTGTTCATCTAGAGACCAAGCCCTTTAGTTTGGCATCTCAGATTTGAAAATTGAATAATCGGTGCAGATCTGATGCCGTTAACAGTCATGTATTGTATTTATACATAGTACATACATATTTACATAGATTCGATCTAACCCTGGAATTTGGGTATTAGGGGGTTATTAGAATTCAGACAGGAGCTTCAAAACTATTACATTCGAACATACACAACTCGGGGATACTTGATTTGTAACTTTGGCTTTTATTTTTGCCTGAAAAAGAAAAGGCACCAATTACCGATTATTTTCTGCTCAAAAAATAAAATTCAAACCTTAACTTTTACTTTTGCCTTAAAAAAAATAAAAGCATAAAACATTCATCATTTTGCTTCGTTAAACATTCAATAATGCGGTCGTTACCTAATTTTTCAGTTAGCCCAACTACTTTTAAAATCTTGTTTATTTCATTTTTTTCCATTAGTTCTTTCAGCTTCGTATTCAGTTCCTATAGTTTCCTTTAATTTTTGATGCACTTGCTCACATGTGTCTTTATTTTTGCACTCCAGAATTATACC